AGGAAATATTGAACTAAAATTCTATACCCAGTGAAAATAAAGGTGGACCCAAGAGATGTTCACATGAAGTAAAACTTAAGAGAGTCTTTGACCAATATTAATTAATATTCTAAAAGAATGGCTAAAGGTTTTCTCTAAACAAAAAGAAAACAACAAAAGAAAGACTACCAGGAAAAAAATATGGTAAGCAAAAATACAGGTCAGAATAATGGGTTTTCTAAATTATGTTTGTTGAAGTAAAAGTTATAACACTAATATTGTTCTAAATGTATGTAAATGAAATATTAAGGCAATTATAAATGTGAGAAGGTAAAGACACACAAAGGAAGGTAGTTTCCATGTCCAAACTAGTAACACAACACCACCTTTAGATTTTGATGTTGTGCATATGTAATATAATGTGTAGAGCAGTCTCTCAAAAAGCTATTTGAAGTGATACACTCAAAAGCACTACAAATTAAATCAAAGTGGAATTCTCAGTTCACATCATCCATAGTAAGGCAGAAAAAAGATAGAAACAAAAAACAGTGAACACACAGAAACAATGTCAATGCTTGAAATAAAACCAGCAAAGATAGATGGGCAGAATAGATCTAAAAACATTACTCAATGATACATAGTTCACTTGAAACTCATTTCAAGTATGACAATGTAGACAAAATTTTAAAAAGATGGAAAAAGACATATCATGCAAACATTAATAAATGAAAGGAGTGACTATATTAGTATTCAATAAAGCAGATCTCGAAAGAAAATTATCAGAGACAGGCACATTATATAATGAGTAACAATTCACTAAGAACACACAGCAATCTTAAATGTGTTTGCTTAAAACTACAAAACTGATTACAAAATATGTAAAGCAAAAACTGGAAGGAGACATAGGCAAATCCACTATTTATTCAACAAGTAAATGGCAAATAAGGATATTAAGGAATTCAACAAAAAAAAAATACTTAATTGGTAATTAGAGAGCATTCCACCCAACAACAGCATAATACACATTCTTTTCAAGTGTACATAGAGATTATACCAAGATAGACCAAAACTGGTCATAAAACAAACTTCAAAAAATTGAAGATAATTTAAACAATACAAAGTATAATCTGTGACCACAATGGAATCAAACTAGAAATCAATATCAAACAGAACACAGACAAGACACCCAAATATTTGAAAAATGAACAACACACTTCTGAATAATTCATGATATGAAGACAGCCTCAAAAGGAATAAAAGTATATATTGAAATGCATGAAAATGAAACCTCAATATATCAAAACTTGTGGGATATAACTAAAGCAGTACTGAAATGGAAATTTATAGAAATAAATGCATATGCAAAATAGAAGAAAAATTTCAAATCAATAATCTAAGCTCCCCACCTCAAGAACTTTTTTTTTTAAAAAAAAAGATCAAATAAAAAGAAAGGTAATAATAAAAATAAGAGCAAAAATCAAAAACAGAAAAATGACAGAGTATCAGTGAAATAACTAGTTCTTTAAAAGATAGGTAAAATTAACAACCTTCTATCAAGACTGTCAAATAAGGAAAAAACAAATTACTAAGTAAGAATGAAACAAGGGATATCACTAAAGATCAAAAGATAGTTGAAAACAATACAGATACAAATTTAACAATTTACAGAAAATAGATCAACTCCTTAATACACTCTTTCCCTCCCTTCCTCTCACCCCCACCTCACAACTCACTCAATATGGAACAGAATATTTGAATGCCTTTTAACTATTACAGAAATTGAATTCATAATTTTAAACTCCTAAAAAAAAGAATCTCCTGGCCCATATGGTTTCACAAGAAAATTTCATCAAGTACTTAAAGAAGAATTAATACCAATTTTACAAAAATTTTTTCCAGAAAATAGAAAAGTAAGTCTCTGTTCATTTCATGAAGCTACCCAATGGCCTGATACCAAAACCAAAGACAGTAAAAATAAAGATAGATATTGAATGAGGTCACTCATAGATGTATATTAGAAAATATTTAACAAAAAAATCAGTAAATAGAATACAGTGTTAAATTTAAAAAAGAATTATACACACCTTGGTAGTGTGATCCACTTCAGGAATTCAAGGATGGTTCAATATTTTTAAAAATCAAGTACACATCTGTAATGCCAATTACTCAGGAAGCTGAGATAAAGTGATTGCAAGTTCAAGGCCAGCCTGGGAAACTAAGCAAGATCATGTCTCAAAATAAAATTAAAAGGGCTGGGGATATAGCTCAGTAGTGAAATGCTTGCCTAGCAGACGCAAGGGCCTCAGTACCAACCACACACACACACAATCAAGGTAATCTTCCATATTAGCAGGCTGACGATCAAAACCCACATGATCATGTTAATTGGCACAGAAAAAAATTGACAAAATGACAAAAAAAAGATAAAAATTCTCAGGAAAAAAATTGGAATAGAGAACTTGTCATAGTCCATTTTCACCATTCTTATCCAACAATGTACTAGATGTTCTATCCATTGTAAAAGAAACAAAGCATACAGATCAAAATAAAAGGAAGAACATGGTCCTTTTTTAATTATGCTATTCTCTAAAAACAAGTCTCAAGAAGTCTATTGCAAAACAAAACTCCTGGAACTAATAAAAAGCAAGTTCTTCTAGACTTCAGAATATAAGATAAACATACAAAACATATATTTCTATATGTAAGAAATGAACTTGTGTACATCAAAATTACAAATATTATACAATTTTCAATATCTCATAAAAATGAAATACATAGTTGAAAATTTACTAAATAAGTGTAAGACTTGTATGTTGAAAACTACACAACATGAATAGGAGAAATCAAAGATCTAAGAGAATGGGAAAAAAAACACAGTATGTTCCTGGATTGAAAGTCTCGATGAGTAAAGATGTCAGCTCTTCCCACATTGATATCCATGTTTTACACAATTCTTTTCAAAATCCCAACATGACTTTTTCACAAAGGCATTAAAATAGCAAAAACGATTTTGACAAAGGGTAAGTGGGAGGAATCAGTCTGATTTCAAGATCTTTTATATAGCTACAGTAATACAATGTACTATTGGAGGATGAATAGATATATACATCAATAGAACAGGGTAGAGAACCTAGAAATAAGCCTATAACTGATTTTATAAAAATGCCAAAGTCAGAAGGCTGAGACAGAAGGATCACAAGTTCAAAGCCAGCCTCAGCAAAAGCAAGGCCCTGAAGCAACTCAGCAAGACCCTCTTTCTAAATAAAATATAAAAAGGGATGGGAATGTGACTCAGTGATTAAGTGCCCCTGGGTTAAATCCCTGGTACCAAAAAAAAAGAAAGAAAGAAAAAACAATTCAACGGAGGCAGAAGGTCTTTTCAAAAAACAATATTGAGATAATTGGACTTCAATAGGTCAAAAAGTGAAACTTAAGTTCATAGTGTATACAAAGATTAATTCAAAATAGATTATGACCTTAAGTGTACAACATAGGACTACAAAACTTTTAGGAAAAAAATAGAAAATCTTCAGGAACTAAGGTTGAGCAGAGTTCTTAGACTTGACACCAAAAACATGATTCATAAAATGAAATATCAGTAAATTGGGCTTTATCAAAATAAAATGTTCTGTAAAAGACCATGTTGAAAGTATAAAAAGACAGGCTATAAAGATATGGCAAACCATGTGATCAAAATACTTCTCTCTGGATTAAAGAATTTTCAAAATTTCAAAATTAAAGCATTTTCTAAGTATTAAAATAAACTTTTCATTTAGAAAAAGGAAAAAGACATGAATAGACATTTCACCATACAAAATATACAGGTGACACGTAACCACATGAAAAGATGTTCAACTAGCCATTAAAAATGCAAATTAAATACATAATGAGCTAGCACTGCACATCTTTGAAATAAACAAAAACAACAGGGCAGGGAATGCTCAGTGTCACAGCGCTTGCCTAACATGTATGAGGCCGAGGCCCTGTATGGGTTCACTCCCCAGCACCCCTGCTCCTGCCCCCCCAAAAAGCACCATACCAAATGCAGAGAAACTGGATTACTCATATATTGCTGGTGGGAACATAAAATGGGCAACCACTCTGGAAAACAGTTTGGCAGTTTCTTTAAAAATTAAATATATAACTACCATTTTACCCAGCAATTACTCTCCTGGAAATTAACCCCAGTGAAACAAAGACTTAAATTCACACAAAAACCTGTACACAAATGTTTATGCAGCTTTATTTGTAACAGCCATAAATTGGAAATAATCCACATGTTCTTCAATGATGAATCATTAAGCTGTAGTACATCTGTGCCATGGACAACTACTCAGTAGTAACAAGGAATAAACTAATGATGTGCAGGGTAACCTGGATGGATAACCAAAGAGAACTACACAAACTAAAGCTAATTCCAGAAGGTTGCATACATTGTGATTCCATTTATATAACATTCTTGAAATAAGACTAGATAATTGGGATGATAGATTAACGGCTGCCAGGAGTTAAGGAGGGGATGGGCAAGGAGGGAAGTCAGCACTAAACACAGCAATGTGAGGCCACAGTTTTGTATCTTGACCACAACAATGTCAATATCCAGGCTATGGTATTGTACTGTGGTTTTGCAAAATGTTACGTTTAGAGGAAACTGGGTGAAGAGTACGTAGAATCTTTATTATTTCTCCCAAATGCATATTAGTATACAATTACTCAAAATTAAAAAGTTTAGGAGCTGAGATTATAGCTCAGTGGTAGAGTGCTTACCTACCATGTATAAGGCCCTGGGCTCAATCCCCGGCACTACCAAAACAAATTAGAACGTTTAAGTAAAATGTAGTTAAAAGTTTGTGGTTAGAAAACCTGAGAGAAATGACATGGCTACCATGAATAATTTACAAGATCTCCCTCTCTCGAAAAAAAATTTCCCTCTTGCAATATGAGGATCTCTACCTTGATTTTGTAGTCTATAAAGTGGGTACATGTCCAGCAAACATTCACATATTTAATTTCTTTTCTAGACCAAAGCCAGCTACTTGCATAAATATAAAGAAATACAACTCATCTTGGACACCACCCAGAAACCCTCCTTTTGTAACTCAAAGGAATCTTAGGACAGATGCCTCAGAATGGTTCCAGTCTGTGCCCCAAAGGTCACTTGAAACTTTGACACCTCTCAAAGGCACCAAGAAGAGGAAAAAACATGTTCTCTGGGCCACAAAGACTGAAGACATGAACCTTCTAAGCAGCAAATGGGAGACTGCTCCCTCAAGCTTTGAAGTGGTTGCAAATATAAAAGATAAGAGTCTTCAAGATGAAGAGTCCAAACTGCAGAGCTCTAAGCAGATAGTTCCTCATCTCCCCAAAACCAAGAAGGAGCAACCACATCAGAATGACAGACAACTCACCTTCCACCTGAGGTTCCAAAGGGACAATTAATCTCGCTGTTTTCTTGCTCTGAAAACTGGATGAAAGATGACATTGCTGACATAGTAAAAAGAAAACAAGACAAGCCTTCCTTCACTATACCTCCCTCTTTACAGGCATATGCAGATGCTAAACTACAAATTCAAGATATCCCATATTATTTAATGGAAACATCTACCAGATATTTTAAAAAATCTAGAGAAAATATAGAAAATTTAAAAACACTAAAGATATTTATATTTAATTTTTGTCAGCATGAAAAAACAAAATTCTGAACTTTTGATTTCTTCCAGAATTACTTATGCATACAGCACCAAATAACTAAGAATTCAAGGGAGAAATGACATGTGCTATCACTAATTTTAACCTCCCTTTTAGGCACTTTAATGAACCAGTCAACATCATTTCCTGAATTTATTTCTGTTATGTGATTGGTATACTTGGAATCACTGATGACATAAACGACATTTCTCCCCACCAGAAGAATATCATATAATTGTCCACATAAGACATACATGACTTAAAATGATTACAGATAAGTGCATATATTATATGTTGCTATGTCATAAAGAAAATACCAGGTATTACAAGGTGATAGAGTGGCACAAAATGGCACTGAAATGTATATATTATAGTTTAAAAGACATTTTACTTATCAAAGTTAAGCAAAGATGTAAAATATTAAAAGCACAATTTTTCTTATAACTGATGAGTACATCCATTCTAGAGCTGTACATCTCTAGCTATTTATTCATATGGACACTGTGGAACAAATTCAGCACCTCACATTCTGTTATGCATAAGGCAGCAAGCACTGGGAGAGATTCCTTTAAGACAATGCAGAGAAACAGATCAAGCAGGTAAGTCAGGATGGATGTAGCAAATGAGAAAAGAGTCGATTAGTCCTGGGTCAACAATGGCATCCCGTACAGGATGAGACTAAGTGGAATGAAAGTTAAATAAATTAGGTACATGAAAGGTGAAGGCCACAAGCCTAATTAGGGTTGAGTATAACCAGGAAGATCCAAAGTTGGTGATCTGTTCTCAACAATATTTCCAGTAGCTGAAGAAGATTTTAAGAGTCTGTTATAATATTTAAAGTAAATATTGTGTTTTAAAAGAGTCTTGACAATAGATTTCTTGAGATTTCTTCGACGACCGATCCAGTTATCTTCTGGATAAAATAGATTGTTGGGGCTGGGGATGTGGCTCAAGCAGTAGCGCGCTCGCCTGGCATGCGTGAGGCCCAGGTTCGATCCTCAGCACCACATCCAAACAAAGATGTGTGTCCGCCGAAAACTGAAAAATAAATATTTTTAAAAAATTCTCTCTCTCTCTCTCTCTCTAAAAAAAAAATTTAAAAAAAAGATAAAATAGATTGTGCTTTGTTTGGGGGTAAGTATTCTATCCCCCAGGGGCCCCTACTTTTCACCCCAAAATTCTTATTCTTACTGACTGGGGTAAGAGCAGAGGTCTGCTCCTCCAAGATGCCTTCTGCAAGGTAAGTGCTCCAGCTTGGTAAAGTGAGGATAATGTTCTGAACCATAGCATTTATTGTAGCTGACATCAGGATGAGTAAGAGCTCTCAAAATTCAATTTTGCTCTTATTCTCAAAGATGGGGTGGGTGGTAAGTAAGCTATGGGAAGATCTTGATTTATTTTTTTATTCAGTGAAATATCTATCACTTGAACCTTCAATTGTCTTCAGGGTTTAAGATTATAAATTATGGAGTTGAGTACCTTTGTGAATAATACAATAATAAACCAGTTCCTCAGAACATAGAAGTATACGGATATTTCCTTAACAATTTTACCGTGGTCCTCACCCATAATTGTTCTTCTAATAATCTTATTATTTTATACAAATACTTGATATGATGCTCTCCCTAGGAGAATATGTAGGTTCACTTTTCCACTCTGCCCTTTAACTTTCAGTTTTCTGAGTATGCCACTCTCTTTCTTAAAGGCTATTCATTTTCTCTGCTTGGTATACTCTTCACCCTAGTAGTTTACTGGAAAACCTCTACTTCTTTAAGATTAAATTTAATCACTATAAACCTCAGATACCCCCAGGAATTTTAAACAGATATAATTAATAGGCTGAGAGTTCTAATTGGATTCATAGATAGCATGCAAGAACAGATGGGTAATATGAGAGATGTAAACTCTAAAAAATAAAAAGAGATGTAGAAATTTAAAAAAATACAGTAGTAGAATGAATGAATTTTCCATAAATAATGACAACAAACCATGGATCCAGAAAACTTACAGAACCCAAATGCCAAAAATTCTACATGTTATACTCAAACTCAAGAAAATCAAAGACCTAGTAAAATCTTGAAAGAAGACAGAGGAAAAAATAACACCTATCATATATAGATGAGAAAGATGATAATTGCTTTAGAGTTTTCTTCAGAATCTGTGTAAGCAAGAAAGCAAGTGAAATATTTATAGTGTTAAAGAATAACTCCTTAGTTCAGGCTTCTGTAACAAAACACCATGGAGTGAATTGCTTAAATAGCAGGAACTTATCTCTCACAGTTCCAAGGTGGGAGTTCTAAGATCAAGATGCTAAGAGATTCAGTGCCTGGCAAGGGTGCAGGCAGTGGCCATCTTGTGGCCATCATGACTTTTTTTTATAACAGCACTAATTTATGAGGATTCCATCCTCATGACCTAATTACAATTATCTTCCAGAGGCCCCACCTCCTAACACCATCACATTGGGGGTGAGCTTTTCAACATATATATCATGGGAGACACATAACAACCATCAACCTAGAAATCTCTATCCAGTGAAATTGTCTTTGGAAAGTGTAGAAAGATGCTTTCTTAGGTAGAAATCAAGGGAATTTTTCACCACTAGACTTAAGAGAAAATGTTGAAAGTTCTTCAGAGGAAGGAAAATTGTACAACTCAGAAACTCTGATATACATAAAGGAAGAGCAATAGAGAGAAAATAAAAGTAAACTATTTTTTCTTAATTGATAAAAGATAACAGTGTTTTAAAGATAATAAGAGTGGGCTGGGGATGTGGTTCATCAGTAGGACACTTGCCTAGCATGCATTAGCCCCAGATTCAATCACCATGACCAGAAAAAAAAACATGAAAATAGTAACAATAAGTTTAGAAATTATAGCTTGTATATAAATGAAACAAATACCAGCAATTGAGTAGGAACGAGAGTACTCTGCTAAAAAGAACTTGCATTATCCAGGAAGTGATTGGAATAGTATTATTTGAAAGAGGATTTGGTTTTGATGTAAATTTGATGCACTGTACAAAGGTGAAAAAACTATACTTGATATAATAAAAGGAAAAAAAGTGATGAAAACAAGAAGAGGTACAAAAAGAATGGAAGACAAGAAGCAACAAAAGCAGCAGATAGAAAACAGTAACAAATATGGTAGATACTAATCCAATCACTTTTTAAAGGCAATGGCCTAAATATAGCAATTATAAGATAGGACACTGTCAGAGTGAATAAAAAGAGAAGTATTTTCTTGATATATCACTTTAATATAAAGATTCACTTTAATAGAAAGACACGGGTTTAAAGGGATGAAGAAAGATATGCCCTGTTAACCCTAACTGAAAGAAAGTTGGAGTAGCTATGTTAATTTTTGGCAATGAGCTCTCAAGAAATTTTTTTAAATACTCCAAACCACATGAAAATGGAAACATAACAATAAAATGGAATACAATGAAAGCAAAGCTTTTACTGGGAAATTTATAGCATGTAATGCATTTATAAGAATAGATTGTCTAATGAATCTAGGCTTCTACCTTGGAAAATTATTAAAAAGAAAAATTAAGCCTGAAGTATGAAGAAAAATAAAAATTAGAGCAGAAATTAATGAAATTGAAAATAGGAAGTTAACTGAGAAAATTAATGAAATGCCAACATTTTCTTTGAAAAGATCAAAAAATATATAAGCCTCTAGGAATATTCTTTAATAAGAAAAAGGAGAAAACCACAAATTACTAAGGTCAGAAATGAAGAGACTGCTAGTCCCCTGGACATTAAAAGGATATAATATTATGAAAAATTCCTTGCCCACAAATTTGATAATCTAGATGAAATGGCTTAGTTCCTCAAAAGATGTAACCTGCCAAAACACACACAAAGAGAAAGACAATCTGAATAGGGAGGGCTATTAAAGAAATTGAAATAATAAAACCTTCTAAAAGAGATAACACCAGGCCTCCATGAATTCACTAATGAATTCTAACTAACAAGAAAGAAATTATACCTTTTCTCTACAATATCTTTCAGAAGATAGAAACTGAGGGAATACTCCCTAACTCATTCTATGGTATTGCCCTATTACCAAAACCAAAGATATTGCAAAAAATGAAAACTAGAATATCTCTCATAAATAATATATGCAAATTCTCAAAAAATATTAGAAATAGGATTCAATAATGTACAAAAATAATTATACACCATAACTAAGATTTATTCAAGTTATGCAAAGTTAGCTCAACATTTATATCAATATAATATCAATATAATCCATCACATCAACAGAATAAAGAAGAAATATCATATGATCATATCAATAATGCAGAAACAATATTTGGGAAACTCCTATCCCATTCGTAAGAAAACAAACTCTCAGCAAACTAGGAATGGAGAGAAACTTTCTCAAGTTGATAAAGAACATCTTTAAAAAAAAAAAAAAACAGATGCTTTCTTGCTAAGATAAGGGAATGCCCATTTTAAGACTAGAAATCTTAATTCAGCAAGACAAGGAAATAAAAGATATACAGCTGGAAAGGAAAATTTAAAAAAAAACTGTATTTGTTCACAGATGATATGACTGTAGAAAAGCCCAAAGAATCAATAAAAATAAAACATCCTGGAATTAATGTGATAATAGCAAGTGTAAGATACAAAGCTATATTTAGATCTTAAATATCCCCCAAAAGCCATATGTTAAAAAAGTTTGATCCCAGGGTGGTGTCAATGGGGTCTGATGGAAAGCTTAGGAAGTGGAGTTGTGCAGGA